GACCTTAACCACTTGCGCCACCGCGCCGGGCCCAAGGCCATACTTTGATATGCAAGATTTCCAAATCTTTCAAAATTGTAGTGGAGAAAACTAGAAAATTCTGAGGAAAATGGAAATACAACCAACAAATACTTTTGTAATCTTCACAAATACATAATCACTTCTTTTAGTGTGTCAGAACATATTAACTATCACTTAGTTGTGCACAGATTAACACAATGTGATAGAAATAGAAATAATATTGAGATTTTTAAAATTTGCTTTGTCACTTTTTAGAGTCACTTTAGGCAGAACTCCGCAGATGTTTCTGGAGATGGGTATGTGATTTGGATCTAAGGATATTAACTAGCTGTTCCATCTGTTTGACAAGATCATGGTAAAGAGCAAATGTGAAATGGAGTGTTTTCTCATTTAAGTATTTTTGCTAGAAAACAATCCTCAATGTTCCAGTAAAAATTACTTTCAAATGCTTAAAATTTTGTTAATAACAAGCTTTGAGGTGTTGACTGATCACTTTTTAAAAACCAAGCAATTCTGAATGGTTAAGTCCTCGCCTTGCAATCCCACACTTGAAAGCAGTCGAGGACGAAAGCTTTGGGAGCTGGGAGAAATCATCGGCATAGCATCGACCGTTGCGGCTCACTATGACCTTGTCATAGCCAAGCAATTCTGAATCTGTTCCACCTTGTGAAAGGAGGGAATAGCTGAAAATCAGTGTCACCTCATATGACCTTGTCAAGTAGCACAGCGTGGCCTGTAGGGGGAGCCATGCATCGCACAGAATTCAGACCCTCCCATTGACACTTATTAACTCAACTCTTCTGTCAGCGTCCGTAAAATATGAGTCATGTGGTTCGGTGTGCTGAGCCACTTGTGATGTCAGCATCCCACATCAGAGTGCTTCTACTTCTGATGCCACTTCCAATGCACCGGGGAGGCAGCAGATGATGGCCCAAGTACTTGGGCTCCTGCCACCCATGTGGAAGACCAGGATGGAGTTCCTGGACTGCTGACCTTGGCCTGGACCAGCCTCAGTGGTTGCAGCCATGTGGGAAAGTGAACCATCACACAGATCTCTGTCTCCCTCTCTATGTAACTTCACCTTAAAAAATATATGTCTTTTAATAAAAAAAAAAAAAAAAAACCTAAGGTGTCTCTGGATTGGGAGAAGCTTGAGTTAACATCACAAACATGGAATGAGCATGAAACGCTGCCAGTACGATGAATTGTCCATGGCTTTCCTGAGGTGGGAGACCCCTGCAGTGCCCAGGGCTAAGGAAATGTCCTCCGGAGTCTACCATGTTCTGGGTCTCCCTCTGTATTGGCTGACCAGGTGCATGCCACACATACATCTCTCTGTGCACAAACCCCCATCCTGTACAATCCACATTCTCATATTGATACAATTATTCCATCACAGCCCCAATACACCCATGCCCCCAGATCCCTCCACAATACAACAAAACAAAAACCCCTTCACTCCCACCAAAACCCTCTTAACCAGATAGCATAGAGTAGACAGCTCCTGAGTGTTAGCAGCCACTGCACTAATGGGCTTGGGTATCATTTGGCCACAAAAATGCCGGCAGGTTTCCTCACGCGCAGACTTCATATACATGTTTTTGCACACCTTTTATCTATGTGACCGATGGCACACTCACAAGTGAATACACTTCATGCAGGGGGTCACTGTGTTTAGAATGGCTGCTGACTTTGCTTCTCTACTTTGTTTCTCCATCATCTCAATTAGTATAAAGCTTGTGAGATAGTACAACTTATATTACTTATACTTAGCTTCAAAACAGACCTAATCTACTTTCCCTCTTTCAGAGGAATTTTCTGTATTTTTCCCAGAAATTCTAGGAGGGCAGCAGAGGTAATGGAGTGAGCAGCAGTGGCCTTAGGTCAGGTTCTTAACTATTGAAGACCATGGACTGTAGACTACCAACCAGGATGTGGGCCAGGGTAGCTCTCCCTTCCTTGCCAGCCCCTAGGCCACCTGGGCTGCCAGGGGATGGGGGGAGAGGAGAAACGCAAGACATGGGATGCGGCATTCTCTCTGACGCCACTGCCCACTGACGGCCTGTGTAGTCAGGTCCAGTGCTTCCATTTTAGTTATTCCCAACCTCCTACTTCCTCCTCAGGGGCTAGCTTTGTTTCTTCCTTGCAAAATATGCTCTCAAGCAAGGATATAGGATCTCTGAGGTTCCAAGAGGTAAACTCTTCAGAGTGAGGAAGTTGCTCTTGAAGGCCACAGGCCACAGGAGGGGCCCCAGCTCAGGAGGTTACCCTGACCCTTCCGGCTTCTTCTAGCAGAGCCATCAAGTGTGCGTCACACGGGTGCATGGGTGAGTGTGACCCCAATGGGGTGTCTGCCTGGCCACTGGAGCCCCATGGGTGCCGAGAGCTCAGAGAAGAGAGGTCCTTTATGGTTCAGATCATAAAACAGTAGGCCTTGGCTTTAGGGCCTTGACTGTCCCCTGAGGGGCAGCAAGCAGGAGGAAACCACCCACAGGGTGGGCAGGTCCTAAGTTCTCAGCCTGTCCTCAAGAAACCTACAAAGCAGTCCTTCCACCAGCATGAAGAGCAACAAAGAGTCACCCTGCTGGAGGGCGCCAAAGAGCACAGGCGTTGGAGAGAAGCTGGAACTTTTTATTCTAGAGACTCTAGGAGCACAGGAGCAGAATTGCATGGAGAAGCTTTAGCTGTTGTCCAGGTACAACCCTTCCATAAAGTCCTTCTTCCTGGGGCTATTTCTGGGTCAGAATCCTCCCCATGCCGCCCCAGTTTCCAGCCCTAGACTTACAGCCCACCTCCACAGCACACAGCAAAACCAGACTCCTACTACCTGTGCCGAATGACTGACAAGCCTCGGGCCAGCAAGTCAGGGTGTGAAAAGAGGAACAGAACTGAGACAGTACAAGAAAAACTAAGAAAGAATCGTACCAGGGCAGGCTGGGGTTGGAGGAGAAGGCCACTGACAATACAGTTCCCCACCCCCTGGCAATGTCTGTACTTACCAGTTTGTCAGCTTTGTCCCACATGCTTTCCCCAAAGCAGTGATGACACCAACAGCTACAATGAGGCTCCTTGCAGTTCCACATTTTTATTTCCCTGGCTGCACAGAGAAAAATAAAACTTGCCTGATGTGGAGAAGGTGGGAGGGGCAGACTCCTAGGGGGGGAAATGAGGGACAAATAGACAAAAGCTTTTTTTGTTTGTTTTTTAATGAGAAGAAATGTCCAAGACAGATTCCAGCTCCCCGGTTATCAGGCTCCTTGGATGCTCCGTTTGGAACTTGATCTTTTTTTCTTTTTCTCTTCCCTGGTTGACTTGCTCCTAGGAAACAGCGTCCTGGAGACTAGGAGCCTCTGGTTTTCCCAGGGGGTTCCAGGGTGTCCACAAAACCAGAAGTGGCAGCCTCTCTTGCAGTATGCATCAGACCATTCATGATTCTGAGAACAGGAATACCTAAGTCGTGGCTCTGGGTGGCCCTCACCCAACTGCCTTAACTCATGCTGCCCAATCCACGTTGCACCTCTTGCCTCTCGCAGTGCCTTCCCTCTAACTTTCCCTCTGGTCCAGAATGACCTCCTGGTGCTGGTGGGTCCTGCCACCTGCCTCACGGTGAAGGGCCCAGGACAGCTTGCTCCCAAGGGGAGCTGCTGGCCATTGCCAAAAGCAGCCCCTCCAGGCAGCCGTGGATCATCTAGACTCCAACCCCCATGCACCTTCCACCAAGAGGCTGCTGCTTCTCCCAGTCCCATTCTCTGCCCACTCAGAAGATTCACCTGGGATCCCCAGTCTCAGGTGATGCATTCATGGGCATGCCCAGTGGGTGTCTGAAGGACCTGGCTTGCTGTGGTGTTTGTGGGCATGTGCACCAAGCAGACAGGGATCCCTGGCTGTCCCCAGCTCCATGTGGCTGGTGCTAGTTCTGCATCTCCTAGGAAATTCCTCTGAGTTTTAAGTTTTGGTGCATCAGGGAATGGAGAAGAAAGGAAGGGAAAAGCCATGTTACCATGGAAACTGAGGAGGAACAACACCTCTGCCTCTGTCGGATATTCCCACAGAGGAGCTGTAGAGATGGCCTCTTCTTCTAGTCAGGAGATGCTGGCTGCCCAGACACATCCCCTGGGCCAAGGAGAGGGTCTCCGCTGTCTGCTCTGAAACCCAATGCCTTGGGATCTGAGATTTCCAGGACATGCATTAGACAAAGACACACTGCAAACCACTTAACCCTCTGAGCCCTTCTGCTACCCTCGATCCAGTAACCTCTGAGGAAAAAGTTACCTGAGTCCACCAACCACTTGCCCTCTGGCTGGAGCCAAAAGGGAGTGGACTCCTCCAAAGGGCTTAGACAGTGAAGTCAGAGAAAGCCCTGGGGGAGGCAGATCCTTACTCTAACCTGGAACCTTTGTCCTCATTTGGCACTTTGGTGCCACAAGTAACTCTCCTTGGGGAACTAGGAATAGGACCTGGGGGACAGGCTCAAAACCCAACTGGATTCAGACCCTCAAGACTGACCACTGTTCAAAGTCAGTGCTCAGGAGGGAGCTAAGGGCTGGGAACAAACAGAAGGCTGGGTGTGTGGAAGGAAGCCAACAAAGACCTGAGAATCGGCTATCAATCAGGTCTTTACTATCTGCCCAGTTACAGGGAAAGGAATTTCAGCTGCATTTAGCTTTTTGACCCTCAGTGATTTAGAAATGTCCACTAGAATTTAGCTGCTCTCTGTCCCTCCAAGATAGGACCCAGGACAAGCAAGGGGAGCAACAAGACAAGCACACTATTATTCACAGTTTCCACTCTCCTCCCCAAACCTCCCCCCAGACTCCCAAAACCCCATCACTGGCCTCAAGGAACTCCCACACCTCCAATGCACAATGACTCTCACAGTGTGGCTCAAAGGGTTAAAAAAAAAAAAAAAAAAAAAAGGACTTCTCAGACAGGACACAAGCTCATTCACCAACAGGAACCGAGAACAGCTACACCACAGCCTAGTGCTTCTTGTAGCGGTTCTTGGGGGTTTCGCCACACCCTGTTTTGTCACAGTTGAGAGCACCTGGATTCTTCCCAAGCCCCAGGCTCCCCAGGAGGCTGGGCAGCTCCTGAGTAATGGCCCGCTCAATCTTCTCCAGAAAGCAACCTCCCATGTAGGAGCACTGCTGGGAGAGGAGTTTGAAGCTGGAAATGGGATTGATACCAAAGAAGTCCTTATAGGCCTCGCGGTTGGGAAGGTCAAATTTGCTGACGTTGGTCTTTGCCAGGATAGTCTTGAAGATGTAGAATTTATCAGGATCTTCCACAATGTCCTTAAAGACTAGTTCTCCATCGCTGAAGAAGGTCATTTTGTCCTTGTAAGTCTGCAGGTAGCGGTCGACCAGGAGGGCGTGAATACGCACCCGGATGGCGTGCTGGCGGATGAAGGCAATCTTGTTCTCCAACCTGTTCTCGATCACCTGGTTCAGGTCTTCCAGGAGGGAGATCTCTTCTTTGAGAAACAGTTCACGATGAGTATTGGGCTTATAGTCCTGTGGCCAGAAGGAGCTGACGTAAACCCTCGGGGGCTCCGTGACGTTGATGAGAGGGGCCAAGCTCCAGAAGAGGGCTCCATAAACCCGCATAAGCATTTGCGTGGCCAGGTTGTCGGCCTTGTTCAGGATGATCCTTATCTGGGATTCACGCCCCTTCAGCTGGCGGAAGAGGGTCTCCAGCTCCAGGCCCACATCCAGCTTGGTGGGGTCAAAGACAACAAAGATAAGGTCGGCTCTGTCGATGAACCACTGGCACACATCGTTGAAGGGATAACCTTTGGGGGACAAAAGGGAAAAGTCAAGCTGAGCAGGCTTCACTCAGAGACCCTTACACCTCCTGTCAGAGTCAAACCACTCCCTGGGTGGGACAAAGTAATCACATCATTAAAGAATCAATTGCTGATCTCCTGCCTCTTGCCAACCTTTAATCAAAAAATTGCTTTAATCTGTAAGACTCCAGAGATGCAAAATACTTGTTCAAAATGGAGATTTTCCTCCTGTGTAAAAAATAAATAAATAAATACTCAAAGAGATCTGGGACAACAGCAACAATACTAAAGGTCAAAAATTAGGGAGTTGGAAGAACACAAAAGAGGAAAGAAAGAGGGGTGGGAAACTGGGAGTCTAGAGGCAGCACTTTGGAACAGCGAGTTAACAGCCAGCTCAGGACCAACTGCTGTACTTCCAATCCAGCTTGCTGCTGATGCTCCTGGGAAGGTGGCAGAGGATGGCCCAAGTGCTTAGACCCCTGTATGAGACCAGGATGGGGCTTTTGCCCAACCCAGCTCTGGCCATTGCAGCCAGCTGGGGAATGAACCAGTGGATGAAAGAGCTCTATCTCTCCCTCTCTGCAACTCTTTCATGTTAAATAAATTAATCTTAAAATAAAACTTCAAGGTAAAAAAGGGAGTGGGTTCCCATGTTGTGAAAAATGGAATAAGAACCAGTTTTCTGAGTATTAAATGTTCCTAAACTCTAGCTTTTTAGATACCAAATGACAAGAACAAGGGCCTAAATTGAAATAAATATTGCTATGATGCCAACCATTTAGGAAAGCACCCAACTGAAACTGCCAGTCACAGAGCAGAAGTTCATTGTATCTGAATTCTTTTAATTTCTTTTCCTCTTCTTATTTACAAGGTGAGAAGGAATACTTGTCATGAAAACACTGAATTTATTTTTTCATAACAACTGATGCCTAAAATTATTCAATTCATAATGGAGATATGATGAAGTTCACTCACTATTATAATGCAGTAATGATTAATGATTAACAATAATGGCTAATAATGATTAACAACAATTGTCATTAATAAAAATTGAGTCTAATTACAACCAAAATGGGATTATCACGAGGACCAGGCCATCTGGTCAAATATGGCTATATGTGCCACGCGCAGGACACAGACAACCTTGATCTTGGTAGCTTTCCATGGCCCATGTCAGAGCTTCCTGCCTTTCAGACCCAAAGTGGCCTCCCCTGCCACCTGCAGGCAAAAAGCAGGCCTGGTCAACCGCCAAGACAAACCCACTGTGGGAAGTGGGAAGGTGAGACACTTCAAACCTGGGGCACCACAGTGCAGGTAGAGGCCGCATGTCCTGGTCTTGGACAACATCAGTCATTTTCTCTCCCTTGTCTGCCTGTTACTCAACATTAAAAATAGTTTCCTAATGCAGAGTTCAGGCTGTCCAGAGATGAGGGCTAAATTACCTCTTTCTTGCTGCTTGCGGTTCTCAATGATGCCTGGTGTGTCCACAAAAGTGACCCGCTCCAGAAGTTTGTGGGGAACCTCGATGCCGATGAGCTTCTCCAGGAAATTCTGGCCAAACTTCTCAAGGGGTGAGAAGGAGCGGGCACTATCTGCAGCCATGACAATGCCCTCTATGGTCTTCAACTTGGGCCCGTGCATGAGGACCGTGAACTCTGAGGTGGTGGGCTCGGCACCTGCTCATAGGTGAGAAGCATGGGAACATGGTGACTTCTAGGGACAGACCCACTGCAGCCAGTGTAGGTGAGCAGGGGTCTCAGTGAAGATTTTGCCAAAGAGGATATGTTTGCTTAAGCAGTTTATTACTAATTGTGGTCAAATGCATGGACACACAAAATTTGAGATTTCAGCCATTTTTTAGTGTACAATGGTTCTGGGGGATTAAATGTGTTCACTCTGTTGCATAGCCATCACTACTGTCCAGCCTCAGAACTTTTTCATCTTCCTGAAATGAGATTCTATCCTCAATAAATACAGCTCCCTAACTATCACCCCATCCCATTACCCCTCCCTCGCCACCACCCCAGCAGGCAAAGTTCCACTTTCTGTCTCCATAAATTTCCCATCTAGGTATCTCGTATGAGCAGAATACAGCCCTTGTTTTCTGCATCCGGCTTGTTTCACCCAGCTCAGTGACTTCAAGGCAGCGTGGGCCTGACATACCCTGATAGCCATGGCCCTTCCTTTCTAGGGCTGACACTTCATTACACAGGGGGGTCCAAATCTGGGTCAACTATCCCTCCACTGCTGGGCATTCAGGCTGTTTCTACTTTTTCTGACTGTTGTAAATAATGCCAGTTTCTTTTTACAACCACACTGAAGACATTTAGAAATACTTTCACTTTTCATAGCACTTTTATAAAATCCAAATACCAACAATCTCTCTCTTTCTCTCCCTCCCTCTCTCTGTCTCTCACACACACACATTACCTGTATAGAGCTGGTAGCGTGTATCTTCCAACCCAAGGAGGTAGTTTATCATGGTGGATTTACCAACACTCCACGGTCCCAGGAATAGCACCATAGGCTTGGAAGTAATTTCCCCATCTGTAAGTAACAGGAATTAGAAACACAAGTGAACTAACTAACAAAGGGCTGTTCCTGTAGGAGGGCCACTGCTCTCTGAAGCATTCTGCATGTCCGGCCCTCGTCCAGTTAGGCAGATCAGACAGGTGTAGAGCACTCGGTGACACTTTTGCTACATGTTAAATGCAATTAATTGCTCCATTAAGAGAATGGATATGAGGCCAGGAGTTAAGATGCCACATGGGATCTGTATCCCGTATCTGTTTCCAGCTCCACCTATGATCCCAACTTCCTTCCGGTTGCACCCTGAAGAGCAGGAGGTGACAGCTCCATGGGTGGGTCCCTGCCACTGACAGGGGAGCAGGGGACTCCAATTCATTCACTGTCACGGGCATCTCGAAAATGAACCAGTAGATGGATGATTCATTCTCTCATCCTCTCTCTCTCTCTCTCTCTCTCTCTCTCCCTCTCTCCCTCCCTCCCTCTCTCCCTGTGTCCCTACCTCTTTCTCTGCCTTTCAAATAAACAATGAAAGTAAATAAACAAAAATTAATGCAACAAATGACAGAAGCAGTTATTTTGTCCTTTCTCACATCTGTGGCACAGCTGCTGGCACCAGGAGGATCTAGGTGAATTCACTGTGCAATGTTCCTGGCTCCTGGCTTCTACCTGGCCCAGCCCCAACTATTCTGGTCTTTTAGGGAATGAACCAAAGATGCAAGATCTTTTTATGTCTCTCTTCTCTTCCTGTGGCACTCTGATTAAAAAAAAATATATATATATATATATATCTTCTTGGGCCCAGCGCCGTGGCCTAGCAGCTGAAGTCCTCACCTTGAATATGCCAGGATCCCATAAGGGCGCCGGTTCTTATCCCAGCAGCCCCACTTCCCATCCAGCTCCCTGCTGGTGGCCTGGGAAAGCAGTCGAGGATGGCTCAAAGCCTTGGGACCCTGCACCCGCGTGAGAGACCCCGGAGGAGCAGCTCCTGGCTTCAGATTGGCTCAGCACTAGCCACTGCGTTCACTTGGGGAGTGAATCATTGCACAGAAGATATTTCTCTCTATGTCTCCTCTTCTCTGTATATGTCTGACTTTGCAATAAAATAAATGTTTTAAAAAACAAAAAATTTATTAAAAATTAGCTTCTAGGGCCCAGCACAGTTTCCCAGTAGCTGAAAGTCCTCGTCTTGCATGCACCAGAATCTCATATGGGTGCCGGTTCATATCCTGGCTGCTCCACTTCTCTTCCAGCTCCCTGCTTGTGGCCTGAGAAAGCAGTTGAGAATGGCCCAGGGCCTTGAGACCCTGCACCCGAGTGAGACACCCAGAAGAAGCTTCTGGCTCCTGACTTCTGATTGGTTCAGTTCCAGTCATTGCAGCCACGTGGGGAGTGAACCAGTGGATGCAAGATCTTTCTTTCTGTCTCTCCTCCTCTGTAAATCTACCTTTCCAATAAATACAAACAAATATTTTTAAAAATTAGTTTCCAAAATCTGAGACAACTTTGTCAGTGTCCAAAACCACACAATTAAGCATCTTTGAGTTCCAGGGGCCAGTGTCCAGATTCAGTGTCCAGAGGCCATATAGGGAGAATACCCTGCAAGGTATTTCCAAAAGAAAAGCAGAACTGTCTGGTGCTTTCAAAGCCAGGGGTGCAGAGCGAGGGTAGGAGGCCTTCGACCTGGCTTGTGGTCAGTCTCACTGCTGGTTTACAGCCTCAGGTCCTCCCTTGACTGAAGCCCTGAGGACCAGCTGTGTCAAATAGAGCACTGGAGTCCCAGACCTCTTCATCACCCTGACCTAACAGCAGGCCCAAGGGCTGGCATTTGGTGCAGCAGCAGATTAAGGTCCTGCTTAGGACATGGACACTCCATTTCTGAGTGCCTGATTCAAGCCCAGTCACTCTGCCTCTGATCCAGCTTCCTGGCTGGATCAGGACTCCTGGCTTCAGCCTGGCCTGGTCCTGGCTGTTATGGACATATGGGGAAGATATGTGGAGGTGGGTGGAAGGATTCCTATTGCTCTTTCTTGCTCTGCATTTCACATGAAATGAAAATAAATAAATAGAATTTTAGAAAGAAAGTGTAGGCCCTATTCTTTTCCTGAATTTTTTTTTACCATTTTACTGTATTTAATGTCTTAATTCAAAAATCAGTAATATAAAAAAGTATAGAGTGAAAAGTCTCCCTTCTCCGTCCCCAACCTGCCTTGAACCTAGCTAATGCTGCTAATTTCTGATATGCCACGTCAGACACTCACACACGTGCAAGCAGTACCCTTACTTGTCCACAGTGTCTGGTGTTTGACACGGCAAGGACGCAGTGTACCTCCTGTTGTGCACCTTCATTTTGATGCAATGGTTCTCTTCTTCTGGGGCTTTCTTTATATCCTAGAGGACTAAGCTGGTAACCCTTAATTGGTGAGCATATCTGTTTCACCTCAAAGGGCTGAACCTCTCCCACCTGTATGGCTGTTATCCAGAAAGGGAAAGGATGGCCGAGATGGTGGCAGGAGTTCCCCAGGAGATTTTAAAAATGGTTTTACATAGGCCAGGTGGCGTGAAGGAGGATGTGGGACCCACAAGCACCTAGACAAACTACCATCATGGCCTTTCCGGGTGGCTGCCACCCCGGCTTTCTACAGCAGGGGGCAGCGTGGGCATGTGCAGGCTAGGACATGGCACAGGGCGCTGGCGGGCGGCTGAGCGCACGCTCCAAGTGCACAAAGTCCAGTCCCGGAGCCAGGAAGCCCTGGGGTGGTCGATGGCCTGCTGGTGCTGTCAGGACAGTGGTTTCCCATTCGAGCCATGCCACTTGGCCTCAGCTGGGAGAGAAGGCAGGTGCCGGGGAAGGAACAGAGCCCTGGGGCGATCGAGAGGGGGAGAGGGGTACCTCCGCCACAGAGCCGGGATAGGACTGGCTGCGAGGAACAGTAGAGTACAGGCAGCCCCAGGACTGGGTTTCCCTTGGAGGAGAACCAGGAAGTCACGACCCTAATTCCAGCTCTGTGATCCCGTGGAAACCTGCGCTTCTCTGGGCACCATGTTCTTCTGTTATTGAGACAAGTGGAAGGAGGCTCCTAGATATTCATGGAAAACGCAAATTAGGGAGGAACTGGACATAGATGCTAACTTATCTGGCACCAAAATTAGCTTGTCTTCTGCTTTCATTTTCTTTTTTTTTTTAATTAAAAAAAATTTTTTTTTATGGTAGCATTTTGTATAGGGATTCTCCCCTCTCTCTCCCCTTTCCCCCTCCCATTTTCCATTCCCACCATTTCCCAACCATATATATTTTTAAATATTTTATTACTTATTTTTATTAGAAAGTTAGATTTTACAGAAAGTAGGAGAAACAGAGAAAAAGATCTTCTGTCTGATGATTCAAGTACTGGTTCACAGAGTGTGGTGCATTTATTCAAAATAGGAGCAGGCAGCAATCAGCGGCCAAGAAGGGCTCTGTCCACACGTGGGTACAGATGCACGCGCTCAGCACACAAGGCATATGGACACACACGTACAGCCGTGCACGCGCAGATACACACATGCTCAGCACACACTCATGTGCACACACACAAGTTTGCCCAATCTGATCCCATCTTTCCTAGAAGAAGATACATTTCTGTATGTTCACACATGCACAGGAAAATCTGCAAGTGTTCACAGGAAACCACAACTGTGGGAACAGAAATAGAGAACTTGGAGAGCAAGAAAGGAATTTTTATTTTTCAACATATGAGATCATCAAAAATTCCACACTACCTCACTCCCTCTTTCTCCCTTTGCCTTTCAAATAAGTTAGCCTTTTCAAAAAATTCAACGGAGGAGCCAGCATTGTGGCAGCACAAACTAAGCTGTCTCCTGCAGCATCAGCAGCCTATACAGGTGCTGGTTCAAATTCCATCTGCTCTACTTCTGATCCAGGTGCCCAATGGTGTGGCTGGGAAAGCAGCAGAGGATGAACCAAGTCTCTGGACCCCTGCCACCCATGCAAAAGAAACCTGAAGCTCCTGGCTTTGGTCTGACCCAGCCTGGGTTGTTGTGGCTATCTGAGGATTGAAGCAGCTGATGGGATATCTCTGTCTCTCTGTTCTCCTTCTCTCTCTGTAACTCTGCCTTTTAAATAAGATAAATAAATCTCTTTTTTTTTAATTCCAAGAAAAATGTACATTGGAGGATAATTATGCAGGAATTTCAAAAACAGCATCAAAATAAGTTATCCTCCATGAACTTTTTGAAGTATCTTCATATACTGTTCTGCAATACTAGAAAATTTTGTGTGTGTGACAAGTGTATTTGTCTGTATTGTTTTAAAAACCAATTTTTAAGGGAGGCTATGCATCAAGTGTAACAGGAAGGCAGGAGGACTCCAAGCCAATCAGGTGACATGGACCTCAGCCATCAGGGAGTAGGCCTGGTGGGCCCTTCAGCACAGGTGGATGGAAGCTGGGGTCATTGCCTTGAAGTCAGAACCTCTCTCTCTCTCTCTCTCTCACACACACACACACACACACCCCCCAGGCATGCAGAGGTGAACCGTACCCTACCAGACCCTTGAGGCAAGAGCACTCTTGTGTGAAGTTGTTTGGAAGCATGCAGCCCTGCACAGCTGTGTGGGCAGCAGCAGGCCGGGGGTGGAAGGCAGTGACTCTGAGACGGAGAGCCCCACCCAGGGCTGTACCTGTGATCTCATGCTGGCGCAGCTCGTGGTATTTGTAAGACTGCTCCAGGGGCTTGATAGACGAATGGTAGATTTTTCGGAGCCGCTGCAGTACCGCTGAGGACAGATGGGGCAGGGGAGAGTGTCAGGCAGGGTGTGCTCCAGGCAGTCCTTCTGCTGTAAAAGGGCCCCACCCCCTGGGCAGTTCCTCTGTTTCCCGGTGGATAGCTGGGGTGCTCAGATGCCCAGTAACTCTGCCACACGCCCGGAAGAAGCCAGTGCACAGGTGGACCCTCAAAACTACTTAAGACAACTAAGAGGCCCATGTCCCATACTGGAGCGCCAGAAGCCCCAGTCCCAGCTGTGGCTCCTGACTCCAGCTTCCTGCATGCAGCCCGGGAGATGGCAGGTGACACCTTAAGCACTTGCGTTCCCACCCAGGAGCCAGTCTCTGACTGTGTTCCTGAACACTGGGTTTGGTCCCACCATTTGAGGGCTTTTGGAGAATGAACCAGCCTGTGAGGGTTATCTGTCTCTCTTCCTTCCTTCCCTCTCCCTAACTTTCAAAGAAACAAATAAATGGATACAAAAGCCTCTTGACTTTTCTTTTTCTGTTTTAACCGACTCCTCCCTTCCTCCCGCCTCAGCAGTTTTTCTGAAAACTGGCTGATACCTGAAGATCCTTTGGAAGACAGGAATCCCACCTCTTTCTCTCTGCTGTCCACCCCTTCAGCCCAGGTGCCAGGGAACCAGAGGCCAGCAAGCCAGCAGGGTAGTAACCCCTGGCCTTGCCGCTCCATGGATCCGGATGCTCCTGAGATGAGCACAGTCCCAGAGCAAGGCTGGGAGCTAGACAGGCGTGAAGGGCAGCCTGCTGCTGTCTAGCTCGATGACCCAAGCAGTCACAGCCTTGCTCTGCACTCTTACTACCTCATCAGCTTCAACAAGTAAGGGCTTTAACATTTTAAAATAAAGGGCACAGCACAGTAGCCTATTAGCTAAAGTCCTTGTCTTGGATGCACCAGGATCCCATATGGGCGCCAGTTCTAGTCCCAGTGGCCCCACCTTCCATCCAGCTCCCTGCTTGTGGCCTGGGAAAGCAACTGAGGACAGCCCAAGGCCTTGGGACCCTGCACCCGTGTGGGAGACCCAAAGAAGTTCCTGGATCCTGGCTTTGGATCGGCATAGCATCGGCCGTTGCGCTCACTTAGGGAGTGAATCATTGGCAGAGGATCTTCTTCTCTGTCTCTCCTCCTCTCTGTATATCTGACTTTCTAACAAAAATAAATAAATCTTGGGGCCAGCACCATGATATAGTAAGTCAAGCCTCCACCTGCAGTGCCAGCATCCTATAAGGGTGCCAGTTTGGGACCCAATTGCTCCACTTCCAATCCTGCTCCCTACTAATATGCCTAGGAAAACAGTGAAAGATGACTCAAGTCCTTGGAACCCTACACCCATGTGTAAGAACCAGAAGAAACATAAGGTTCCTCACTTCAGACCAGACCAACTCCAGACATTAAAGCCATTTGGGGAGTGATACAACAGATAAAAGATTCTCTTGCTCTCTCTTTCTCCCTCTCCGTAAATCTGCCTTTCAAATAAAAATAAATAAATATTTAAAAATAAATGCATAAGTAGATCTTTTTTAAAAAAGAAAGGGTGGTTTTCCACTTGCTGGTTCAGGCCATATAGAAGCAACAGGAAGTCCCTAGAGAAAATCCCCCAGTGAGGAGATCAATGCTGACAGAAAAGCCCACAGCCAAGGGCATTTGCCTCAGATAGCTGCAGATCTCTATCCACATCACAGCAACTGTCACCTTCCTGTCTGCCTGCCACACTGAAGCAGTATATTTTACTAAATCTAACTCTGCTCACTCCTCTCTGTATTCCAATCTGGTAAATTTTTCCCATCTCTCATGACCAGACCTCAATTTGTCGCCTCCTGTGACACTCCCCAAATGGCCACAACAGTCAGGTGGAAGCCAGGAACCAGGAATGCCATTCTGGTTACCCATGTGTGCAGCAGGGGGCCAAGTACCTAGGCCATCTTCTAGTGCCTTCCCAGCTACCTCACCAGAAAACAGAATGGAAAACAGAGCAACCAGGACTCCACATGGAAAACACTGGCCCCAAAGGGGGTGCATTCTTACTAATCCCCCACTCCTGCCAGAGTGCACAGGTTAGTACATCCCACACCATACACCAGCATTAGCCTCCATGCCCTCACTGTCTCACTGGCTGGGACCACATTCCCCTCTCTGCACATATGGAACCCCCAACCTTGGTCTCTGCTCACAGAAACAACTCCACACAGTCCCCCAGGCACAGGAGCCCTCTTCCCTTGGGGTCCTTATCACCTCACAGCCTCCCCACCCACCACTGCAGCCTAGCTCTCAGTCACCTCTGGAGCTCTGCCTGGCCACCAGCCTAGCCCTGTCCTGCTCCTCTGGTTACCTGAGTAGTCATCAGTCGGCTTGTCCTCATTCAGCATCAGGGTCTTCTCGATGTGCGATCGATCCCTCATCGGGGCTTCCTCACTCACATCTTCTGTCTCTTCTGCGGAGAGAAGCAGACAACTGAGCACCAGGCCCCTCAGAAGACAGACTAGAACTGGGTCTGCAGCAGCAAGTGCTAAACTGAGTTCTGTCTTTAGGATGGAACAAGAAAACCTGTGATCCAGATGATTAAGCTAACAGGTACTTACTGGGAATCTACTAGGTACTGATGACCACACCAGGAAGGCAGTGGTATCCAAAACAGGCACAGAACAGCACTGGCCCTTAGGGAATTTTCCTAGAGCCCAGTGATCAGAAAGCCAAGAAAGTCTCTACCACAGTGTAACACACTCATGTGTCACTTGGCCTTGAGGATGCATCCTGAGAAATGTGGCATCAGACCATGTCAGCGTTTCTACAGAATCCTCAACAGTCTGGTTGGCTACACACCTGAGCTCCAAGTTCAGTCCACACTTCCAGCTGCTGTAGTGAACACCACAGGAACTTGACACAGTGCTCATTATTTACATCTCTACACAGCAGAGACACAGCAAAAATGTTAAGTGACAGGACTGCTCCAGCTCCACAACCATCTTACAGAACCACGCCACACTCCGGGGCATGTGGTCCATCAGGAAGCAAAACATCATTGTCCTCCGTGATGGTAACCATGCACAGCGAAGTCGCCATGGAAGCAGGCATTCCTAAAGAAATGTGCCTAGACAGACCTACCAGGGGACTGCAGAATTAGTCAGGTGGAGGGGAAATCGGGGTGCTGGGAAAGCCCCTGACAGGAAGCAATAGGGCAGATGGTAGTAGGGAGGAAGGGACCTGAGGGAGTCACGGGTTGGCATTGGCAATTCATTCCAAGGTAAGGGTGGCCATCAGTGGGCATTTCTCAAGATCACATCAGCTGGGTGCAGACAGGAGGAGGAAGCACAGTGGGGCCACCTGTTCTCCCAATCATGAAAACAAAAATATCCAAGCCTGCTGCCCTTCAGGAAAGGAGATGCTCACATCTAAGACCATGGCTGTTTCTCCCCAGGCTTCCTGCACAGAATCCTAAGAGATCAGAAAGATGGACCTAGGCCTACAGTGCAAAGCAGGCAGGCTGCCAGGGGATGAAGATTCAATATGCCTTGGGCAGGCCAGACCCAAGCAGTCCCTGACCCAGAATACAGAAGGCAGAAAATGAGGAGGAACTTGAAGACGGAAGCCCCAGCCTTCCCTTTCTGGAAGGTACAAGAACCTGACCAATGATATGTAAATCAAACTCTGCAGGGAAATGTGGTTGGAAAGCAAACTGGGAAAGTGAAGCCTGGGCCTTAACCCACGTTCACAGCCCACCTTCTGGTTGGCTGCAGCAACTGGGCTTCTGGGGCCTGCAGGGTCCTGATCACCCCAGGATTAGATGGATCTCAGATGTTGCCCAATGGCTGTGGCCCCATTCTCCCCCACTCTTTTCCTGTCCCCAGCCTTTTAAGGGTGGCTGCCACTGCTTCAGATAGGCATTTGAAGGACTTAGTCCATCTGAGTTCTTCCATCAAAACACGGCTCCTAGTGCCAGTTCTCCATGCTGACCTATGGCTGCATTTTCAAGCGGATGCCAAGGTATCAGCCCAAAAAGTTGTCACCTGCATGGTTTGCTCCACTAACTCCCTGCATGTCAATGTACCAGCTGGCCTCAGGACCTCAAACCTGGCACTAGTGTCCTTGCTCCTCTGTCCTCTATCCTTAAGGTCTGGATCCCTCTGTGACCCCTATACTCAGTCCCTCCAAAATGAAAGGTGCCTCCAAGAACTGGTACCCTGGATAGGGCCCCTATCTAGCCAACCCGGGACTAACCCGGGCTCTCCTTCCCCACTCTGCCCCTTCCTGTCCCATTTCACGCATAGCTGCCCGAGGTTCCTGGGTGGCTTTAACAAATTCATCCCTACCCTGGGGGGCAGTTAGGGAACTCCCTGAGCCCTCATGTCCCTCTCCAGGTTCCTTTGGCTCAGTGTCCTTGCTGCCTGCAGGCCTGGAATTCAAGTCCTCCATGCCAGGCTGACCCTCTCCCCCGGCAAGGCTTGCAGTTCCTCCTGCTTCCAAGGGCTCCGGAGCCTCCTCAGAGGCAGCCCCTGCTTCTTCTGAGCTGGCTCCATCACCGCTGTCTTCTCCAGAATCTTCCTCACTTTCACCTTCCTCATCACCCTCTTCTTCAGAGGAGGCCTCCTCTTCCTCCTCCTCCTTGGGCATCACTGGTGCCTGGCTCTCAGCAGGGTGGTCCCCCTCCATGCTCCTTGCCTCGGAGCTCTGGGTGCCCACAGACGTAGTGCTGGCCTCCGCAGCGGGGCCAGTCTCCTGGCTGGGATGGCGCTTCTCATGGTCCTCAGCCCCCTGCCTGACTTCTGCATGCACGTCAGCCTCTGAAATTTCTTCCACAGACACAACATTGGCAGCTCCATCTGGTTCTGTGGGCCCCTGGCCATGCCCAGGGACGCCATCACCTTCTGTATCCAAGGTGTGGACCTGCTGCCGGTCCTCAGCCTCCTGCCTGGCTTCTGTGTCCACATCCGCCTCCAGCCCTTCTTCCACAGCATGGGGGGCTCCATCTAACCTGGCGTGGCCTTTGTCTTCTATCTCCAGTGTGTGGCTCTCCTGGTCCTCTGAGGCAGGGGAGGCTGTGGTGGCTTCAGACTCTGCCGTCTCTGCAGCTGCTCCTTGCTCCGGGTTGTCCCCTAGGATCCCTTCAGCTTCCTCAGGAACCTTGCCACTCCCAGCCTGGCTTTTTATTTCCCCGCTGGCAGCTCCCTGCAAGCAGGGCTCCTGCCCAGTCACTTCCTCTCCTGGTCCCTCTCCCGAACTGAGCTCTGGCCTCTCCTCTTGCAAGGACCCTTTATCCCTTCCTGCAGGAAGGGTGCTCGCTGCTGCTGGGCCCTGCTCTTCCCCAGGCCCCGCGGCATCCCCAGATGGAGCTGACTCAGTGGCTGAGGCATTGGGGAGGCTGGCTTCGGACTCGGAGCCCGGGCCGGTGGCAGCTGGAGGGGCCCCAGCGGCGGTGGTCCACTCCGCACTCTTGGCCGCCCTGCTGTCTGGGTAGTGAAGGAGCAGGGTCTCATCTCCTGGGGCCGCGTCTGCATACAGGGCCCTTTCTTTCTCCTCTAGACTTGCGTCTCCAGCAGAGAAATGATTCTCCAACAAATTGCCAACATCTTCTGTACCACCCGAAGCAGGGACTTGCAGTTCTAAATGATTAGAATATGATTGGTCAGTTTCACAGGGCTGGCACTGGCTCTGTGTCTCAAAAAAGTCTCACGTCAACCTAGGCCCCCTCCTGTGGGAGAGCTGTGTGGGCTTGGCATGGAGCATGACGCCCACCTCCCCAGGGTTTCCATGACAACCCTGTGTTTAGCGAGCACAGCAGGTGTTATCCTGCCTCCCTCCCAAGTGGTGGAAACTGTGGACAGACTTGCTGTCCATCATGAAGGAAGCTGGTAGTCACACTGACCTGAGAATCTGAAAATTCTGACCTGACCTCAGACTTCCTGCCTAGGTCCTGATCACTGTATGTAGGTGGAAACTTGGACGAAACCTTCCAGGCCTTTCTCAACCTTGCTGATGGGCACGTGCAGCCCAGCTCACCAGGAGATCCATCCAAGAGAGGACTTCATGACTCTCATTAAGCAGGGTGCTTTTTATACAGCTCTCAGCAAAGGAGTGAAAACAGGTGTCTACAGGCCAGATAATCTCATGTTACAAGGCAAAGTACTTAGGGGATTACATGTGGCTCTCATCCTTATTAAGTCACACATCCAACTCTGTCCCCTTAAGGGCAGGCATTTGCTGGCCTGGCTGTGTTAGAGGGACCAGCCTGTGCAGGAGATAGCCAAAACTGGCAGAGCCTGGGCTTCCCGATGGCCTCAGCCAACCCCTTCTAGGGGATTCCCTTCTAAGGGCTGTAGCGTCACCTAGAGAGCACAGGCAGGGCACAGGAAGAGCAAAGCAGGAGAGCAGAGCAGGGCCTGGTCTGCGCCAGAGACCTCTGCCAAGGGTCAAGTTTAGAACTGTGGGAGCAGCAAAAGGAGAGGGTGGCAGGGGTTGAAAGCTGGGCTCTGTTTGAGGAGGAGGCAGCTGGGAATGAGTGGACCAAGGCTGCCCTGCTGTGGGGAAAGGAGACTAAGACAAGTGCAGTCTCCTCGTTTGACTGCTTCTCAAACCACACCTGGGCTCCCATCTCTGCCTCCTAAAACAAAGCCTCAGATTACCCCCCAGGTGTTCCCAGGGAGCTGGGTCAGCCAATAGGAATTAGGAGAGAGTATTTCCTCGTTGGACCCCAAAGACAGCCAACCTCCTGTCAAAATCTGAAGGAAGGGAAACTGTGAAGCCTTTTACCGCCGGAGAGCCTGTGTGCTGTGGAAACCTCCTCCCGGCACTATCATACACTTGAGTGCATCTCACCACCATGTTGTCAAGGCTGAATTACTGAAAGTCTTTGATCTGCCCCGAGACACATGGCCACGGGTGCACCCAGAGCCATCAGCTCCAGCGGCCAGGCTTTCTACACCATATGCTTGGGGAACCTGACTGTAACCTTCCCTGCCTGCGTGTGCCTTCCCTCTAGAATGCTCTGGGCTGCTCCTGACCCCTTACAGATTTTTCAGGAATCAGTTCCTAAATTTGTGTTCCCACTACCTGGGACACACAGAAAAAAGAGAGATACACGGTTAAATTTGGGTACCAATAAAATTCCTGATCCCTCAGTTGGAGGCAGCATGGGGAGCTAAACATGACCCATTTAAGTTTTCTTTCACTACCACCTAAATATCTTCCTGTAAGTCTTTCATCTCCAACACCAGAGAAGTCTCTGGCAGCAAGTTGACTTAACCTAAAGAGACTGACAGCCTGTGAAGTCAGTTCACAGACATGCTCAGTGTCCCAGGTAAAGCAGCTATACTTCATATGTACAGTGTGATCTTCATCTTCAACTGAATGTGTGGATTTACTCTGAGATGCTTCTGGAAGGCAAACTTTACTCAAGTACTATGCCCACTTCACAGATGAGAAGACAACACTCAGAGG